GATTAGTGGACTTTACCTGAAGTAGAGTCAACCTTATTGACTTTAACATCCTTAGGTAAATTTGGCAGCTTCGCAACTAATAACCCTTCCTTTGGCAATATAAACATACTGACCCTTTGATAATGGTACACGGGACTATTACAGACTTAGCCTTTTCTCTTTACCATTTGGTCAACCTAGTTGACTATGGTCAATCCCTTTTCTTGGGAAGAGAATGCCTTTTCTGTATTTCCAGCGTCACCATTGTCAATGTCCATAAAGTTTCAGGAAGTTGATCTTAGCAAATAGATAAGATCATTAAGGTCTTGTCATAGTCTGTTTCATAGGTGTTCCAAAAGGAACTCACTATGTGACTTAGAAAGTATTGAACCACCAACTTTCTCAAGACTTTGACACCCAACTCTCTCGGCTTGTCAATATGCGACTACATCTCCAAGATGTGACCACACCTAGACCTTCACTTGCCAATAGGGCTTGTGTGACCTTAAACTTTTCAAGAACTTGTGGGTTAGGGAGAATAATTGGAGGAGGAGAAAGAAGTATGATTTCCATTGGAACGTCATCTTCATTTAGGAAAGCTTGTTTCAAGAGATTTGGGAAGATCATAAATGTCTAAACCAGACATGTTTTGGGAGATATTCAAGATAGTTGATCTTAAAGTCCTTAATATGACACCCAATATGAAATATTAAGGCTAGGACCCAACAAACTATTTTATAACTTAGAAGAGGTATGCCGTAATCCAAGTTATGAAACAATTTTAAGGTAGGTGAATGACGATTCACCAATTTCCACCAAGATAAACGAAATTAGGTTTTAATTGGTTTTGAAACTCCTAGATCTTTTGAGATTCATTGAACTGTTCAATGGCATGTTTCAATCTCGAGTGTGCCCTTCAGGTTTTGTGACTGGGATGCCGAGGATCACAAAACAAGGTGTGAAGTAACCATGCAAATTACTTGGTACCCTTAAGTGTTTACCCCTTAATCGATGTGCCGGTTAACCACACACGCTCCATCGATACTATGATAAACATTAAGTTACCCTTTGCTACCTTGTTAAATACGAGTTAGTGTGCCGGTTAACCACACACGCTCCACTAACCGACTTAAACAAAGTGCAAAGTGTAATTTCATGGATTAGCACCTTATTCACATTTTCCTAAGTAACTAAGATTGGGAATTATTAAGAGTTTAGTTACTTAGTATTTATCATTAATACTTTTAATGAAGGGAGAATTATAGTCCTGTCAAACCCGTTCGGCTAACGACCCTCCACCAGTCAAGCAAGCGGTGGGTGAGAGTGGACACCCATTAAGTTGCCATTTTATAGGCAACAACCTTATACCCACCTTATAGACCGGCTTCGTGAATGAGGCGTACTAGCGGTAAGACCGACTTTACTCTTATACATATATATATATATATATATATATATATATATATATATATATTAATTATAATAGTATAAGGGTTGAATTTTAACTTTTAAAATTCTAAGGGCTAACTTGGAATTAAAGTATTCATAAGAAAACTTTACAAATTCCAAAACTTGAGGGCAAGTTTTGAAACTATTCAAAACTAATTAATTCCATAACTTATGTGTTTAAAGTAGTTTTAATCCAAAAACTCTTCAAGTTCCATAACTTGAGGACAAATTATGGAAGACTTTAAACTAATAAAGAATTAACTTTTCTTTATTTTATAACTTATGGAATTAATTAAGGTTACATTATTTTTTATTTATTTATTTAATGAAGAGACTCTTGGTCCTCCATAACTTGAGGACAAATTATGGAGTCATAACTCCAATTAATTAGAACTAGACTCTTCATTTTTGTAACCTTTGCCAACTTTTATGAGTTTTATGAAACTTAAATGTGACTTTTCATATAACTTGAGGACAAGTTACAAAAACACATTTTAGAATCAACTCTTAGATTAATTTGGATTGAAAACAACTATTTCATTCAACTTTTCTATTAATCTAAGCAACTCATAAGAACAAGATAATTCAAATCAAACTTTTTCATGTAATTAGTCTAAACCTTAAACTAATACAAAACATGAATCTATTGACAATTATCTTTGAAATTGGATTAGCATGAACATTACCACATCAAAAACAAGTTTATAAGTTCAAAAACCTTTAGGGTAATGTTCCTAGTCCAATTCCAGCCAAAAATCGAATTTATGCTGTCTGGGGTCCAACTCGTCGAGTGCATAACCAACTCGGCGAGTTGGATGCTTTTTCCTTGGACTCGTCGAGTCCCTTCATGGACTCCGAGTCTGCTGGGTAGACAGCAAAAAACTCGATTTTTCAGCTTCTATTGCAAGTATAACAAGAAAACAAGCCTAGGCTCTGATACCACTGTTGGGTTATGAGCATTCTAACACTCCTAAGTGTACATGCAACCCTAAATACCTTGGATCTATGTTTTCTCTATTATACATGCAAATATGAACATCCAAGGTATTATCCTAATCTAGCATACAAAACTATCAATATAACAAGATAGAATACATACCTCTTTGATGTAGAATGTCTTCATGAAGCTTGAGTGCCTAGTGCCCCAAGTGTGACACCTCAAATGGTTCACACAACACCAAATACACTTGGAATAACTTGAGAGAATTCTACACTTCATGAAAATCGGCTAGCCCTCTCTAGAATAATACTAGTGCCGATTTTGTCAAGAATAATATCTTTATATAGTGTTACAATTAGGGCAAACCCTAATTGTCATGACTTTCCATTTCCTTGGATCCATGGGTTCAAATACACCATGGAGCATCCATGGAGCATCATATGGGTTTTGGCCCAACTAGATAATCCATGGAGCATTAGCCCACTATACAAGTATGGATGATTTACACAATCAACCCATATATTTAATTAGTCTTCTTTTGATCACTTAATTAATCCTAGATTAATTCTTGATCAATACTAATTAAATAATCTTATTATTCTTATTATTAATATACTAGAACTTATAATATATTAATAACCATAAGTATCTTATTTCTCTCATTATAGTCTATCCAAGTGCATGATGCCATGCAACCCAAATGGACCATGCCGGATCGGGTCAAGTCTTACCAATTATAGTTATGGACTTAGACATTAATCCAACAGGATTTATTACATTGCAACTTGATTATCCCACTCATTCTTCTGGTTTTCATGATTCTATTTGTTTCTAAGTAATGCATATCCCTATGGTCTTCCCTAAGATTCCTAAAGTAAAATGGATCAAATGGGCTCCTCCTCCTTTTGGTATTTTGAAGTTGAACACAGATGGTTCTTTAAGGAATGGCATGGCAGCAAGTGGTGACATTATTAGGGACTATAAGGGCTCCGATTTGGTTGATTTTCCTACCTTTTATGGCCCAGGTACCAACACATTTGCAGAAGCCAGAGCTCCCCTTTTTGGTCTGATGCTTTGTTACAGATTAGGCTACTCCAAAGTAGCAGTGGAGAGTGAGAAAAAAAATCATTTTTGATAGCATCTGTGGAGGTGCAGTCCCTTGGACAGTCCCTTATATGATCATATCTTTAAAAACTTTCTTACTTCCTTCCATGTCCATCTCTCATATCTACAGGGAAGGGAATCAAAGTGCAGACACTTTAGCTACCCATGGCCACTTCCATTAGGAACATTTTGAATTTCTTTCTTTTCTAGTGGCTCTCTTCCTACTGCCTCTCTTCCCTAAAGAGGTCAGTCCACCGCGTGTCTGTCTTCCAGTTCCTTGACTCCCAAACCTTGGGTCATTGATTTTGCCCCCGCTTAGGTTAGCTATGCTTCCTTAAATATCAGGTTGCCAAGGGTTGTTTCCGGAGGAAATGGGATTAGAACCCATGATTTAGCAGTTGGTTGAGCAGTCGTGGCGGACAAACACAAACAGCAAGCAAAGTCTTGGCTTACTCTCATTGGGAGGTTGTTCAACCAGACTGACGAAGTTGAGTATTGACACAAACAATAAGAGGACGAGCTTCCCTTCTACTACCGAAAAGAGGAGTTTACCACCGCCTACATATTCCACTCACTCTATCCTCTTTGATCCTATTCCAAGGCGATGGATCCTATTTCACTATCCGTGTCTAGAAAGCGATTCGATAGCACTGAATTACTATAATAAGGTAAAAGATCAAAGAAGTCTCTCCGATCGATCCCATTCCTAGTCTTCGTACTAAGCCATGTTGCCTTACCCCTAATCAAGCTTGCTTTCAGCCGAGATCGCCCTTCAGTAGTTGCCCTCCTCGCCCCATTCAATAGAAAGTTGACTTACACGCCTTACTTGATAGGAGGCTTCAGGTAAAGATATCCGAGAGTTTTGACAGTAGTGGGAAGAGTTTGAAGACTTTCCGCTCATCTCCCGACTTCGACTTGAAAGCGAGAGGCTTTTCGCTCCTCTCCTGCTTGGAAGCTCTCTTTTAGTCGGAGAAGTGCTACCTGTTGACCGTTAGGGAGACTACCGTCGACCGTTAGGGAGACTACCGTCGACCGACCTGAGGAGGGAGACTACCGCCCCTGAGGGGCTTGTTGCTAGAGGCATCCCCTCAAATGAGATTTCTAAACTCTACAACCGCTCCGGTTTGAGCAATAAGAGCCCGCCTTCCGGGTCCTATATTCTAGTTACTAACTTCAAAGGAACTACTAAAAGAAGGAGTCAAAGCATCGGAGAGTGCTACCACAAAAATTGTTACTTAAACTCTCACCACAACCCACAGCTTAAAACTCACGTTTATTAATAATGACTAAAAGCTCTTTAATTTCCTCATTGGTTGTAACACAACTATCCATTTTATTCTGTATTTCAATAATTTTTGCCAAAAGTTTATAGAGACCATTGAACTTTTGTCGGAAGTCGCATAAAAGTAAAATTCAAAACAATGTATAAAAAATTAAAACTTAGGCTATGTTTAGCACACCACAATTAGTTTTAAATGCTAGCTTATTTTCCGATTTTTTTTAAGTTGTCATGTTTGACAAACAAAAAAGTAGTTCATAAACTGGCATTTTAAAAACCAACACATACTAGCTTTTCAATGAGCTTATTGAGTTTTGTTATCATTCTTTCAAAAATACATTTCAATAATTATAAAAAGACACAACCTTTTACATGTCATTTTATGTCTTTTTACATATTTCAGCTAACTTATTAACTATTTTTTTCTAACGTCATATTTTATCAGCTACCAGCTAGCTAGCTTTGTAGCTATCTATCAATTAATTTTTCAGCTAGTCCCCAAACTTAACATTAACACCCCGTTCCCGAGTTGTAGCAAAGAAAAGAAGAGAAGAGAAAAGAAAGTAAGGATAGAAAAGAAGAGAGGAGAAAGGAAAATAAATTTGTCTTTTGTGTTCCCGAGTTGGATAGAAATGGAAGAAAAGTTAAACATTTTGTTCTTTCTCTCCAAATCCTTCCAAATCGGAAGGAAAGTTAGGAGGGAAAGTGATCCCTCCGTTTCCTTCCACTTCCCTCCTTTAATGAAACTCGGGAACACCAATTTCTCTTACTTTCCTCTCACTTCTACCCATTTCCTTTCTTTTCTCTCCTTAAATTGAACTCGGGAACGAGGTGTAAGTGTTTTTGAGTCACCTAATTATAAAAACTAAAGACACGTGTTACTATTTAATGACTTCGTTTCTTGATAAATAAATATTTTACAAATTAAATCATTTATAAGTTACCAATTATTGATCCACAAATTTCTTTTCTATCCTATTAGCAGGTGTCAATATTTGATTATTAGTCAAAAGTTTTCTCAATTATAAAAAGAAAGTAGTAATCTTATTACTTTTGGTCAATAACCAATATAACTAAATGATAAAGACCAACAAATTTCTAGTTCGATAGGATGTAATGACACTTTTATATCATTATTTATGATTGAATACTCATTTGATCACTTAAAAAAAAAAAAGAGAACAATCACCATACATCCACAAGTAGAAACCAGATAATATACATATGCAAGCATTGTCCAATACGTGCATAATATTCAGATATATGTGTAGATATTCGTGCATTTAAACTATTTTTATTGGGTCATATGTGTAAAAATGATTATAAATAATTACTATATAGCTTTACAACATAATACATAAGTTTTTTGAACGACCAATTCAATCTACTTCTAAACTATTAATATCGTTGAGTCATCTATGTTTCAAACGAGACTTAAATTTCGATCTGAGAGAGAAAAAACAATAGTTGATAGGTTAGAATCTCTTTGGTAAGATCACCTTATATGCATTTATCACTTTTGAGTGGGACATTAATCGAAGCATCCACTACGGTTTTTTATTTTTTTTGAATTAAACGGTATTTATGTTATTTACACACATTCTAGCTTTTAGAGAACATTTATGCAACGACTATCGGTCATTTGTATAGTTATGAACAAACATATATATATATATATATATATATATATATATATATATATATATATATATATATATAAAATTGACAGGATTTATGATCAAAGTTGATAGAATCTATATAATCTAATATAATTAATTATGATAAATTATATTTTATAAAACATTAAATGATCCAATAATGATTGAGATTGAAATAAAGAAGTGTATTTATTGTTAAGTTAATGAAATTGAATATATAGTTGTTATGCACCTCTTAATATTAAAACGGGGGTAAACAAGGTGGCACCGCAATAGGGGACACGAGAACGAGCATTGATATAGTACTTCTTCTATCCGGAGATTTTCAACAACATCCCATGCTATCACTAAATTAAAAACTAGCCCCTTAAACTATTAGATGTTCTACAAAGAACTTCATATTTTTTACGAAGATGCAAATTTTTATATTTGACATTAATAATATGAATAATTACAATCAAAATGGGGCATTATGTTATGCATGGTGATTTCCACTCTCATGCTTTTGTTTTCCCTGATATATAAGGTATTTCCTTTGGGCAATGTTTTAAAAACCGGTTTTTTAATTGAACCGGTATGGTGATTGGTTCCCGGTTCGACCGCCGAGTGAACCGGATTCTATATTTTTCATGTTTTTTTCTATTTTCCTATGCATACATACATATATAAATTATGAATTTGATTTTTAAAAGTTCAAACATTAAATATACATATAAAAATAATTTGTAGATAAATTCAAATACATTAAAATAACACATAACCATAAGTTTTAGTGTTTTACATAAATCCACATACGTCAAAATAAAAATAAAATATAATACCGAAACAAAAGAGAGTTTTAGATGAATACAAACATATCAAAAAAATTTATAAAATTTACCATATGTTTTTATTTAGAAAAAACTAAATAGATTTGAAAAAAAATCATCAAAGTTTATTATGTAAATGGTTCTTTTTCATGTGGTTTATTAGGTTTAACCGGTTCAACCGGTTTATTTTGACCGGTTCAACCGAGTTTTTTTAAAAACCGACCGGTTCAATCTGGTTCAGAAATAAATACAAAACCGGTGATAGTTGAATCGCTCCGTCTTCCGGTTCCCGATCCAACCGGTTCGACCGGCCAGTTCAAACCAGTTTTTAAAACATTGTCTTTAGGTCTTTTGTATGTTGTTGTTGTTGTTATTATTATTATTATTATTATTATTATTATTATTTATCTCATATTCTCAAGAAAACATAATTAAAGGAGAAACAAACATATAAAAAAGTAAGACTCTACTTTTTTTTTATCCCACATCATATAAAAAATAGAATTTAAGAGAAAACAAATGTCTGTTAAAACCATTTTCCGTATATCTTTATCCTTTAGTGTTTTTAATTGATATTTGAAAATATATCCATTCCATGATCAATCCAAAGAGTTGTTGTGAGCGGCTCAGGAACCATCAATTTCGATTTCATGATCGGTATCATAAAATTTGGACGTATACATTTTAGACTCGCTCCTATTATTTAAAAAATCAAATTAATACGATAGAAAATAACTATTTGTATTACAATATCAATTGAATGAACTCTATTATAAAACATATATGCATGTAATATGCCACTAAATATGATAGATATCGACATATCTAATGTAGCATCCGTAATGTGAGCCTAATAGTTGACGCAGGGAGAATGGTTGAGCTAATAGGGAGACATGTGGCCTGTGGGTGTTGAACCCTCTCTAATATATCTTTTAGATCGAGCTACAAGTTCACAACCATCTACAATTTACTATAATTTAAAGCTCATCGTCCATTTTAAGCCTTAATTACTCCTAAATCTTAGCTTTGATCCCGTATGCGAAGTTCTGCACAAAATATCTATGATTTCAACCATGACACACCTAAAATATTAATACAATTTCGTGATTTATCTCTTATGTGGACCTTAGATCATGCTAACATGAATATCGGGACGGACTAAAATAAGCCTTTCATATAGTATTTTTTATAATCTATACCTAATAAATAAAAATGTTTATGTACCATATGTTATTTTTCTAGAGTTTATATTTAATTTTCATTTTTATTTATAAAATGACACATGATATCCTAATATATTTTCTTTTAGTTATTGAGTTTTATTTAACTCTATTATTCCCATTTTAAAATTTAAACTAAATTTAATAGAGATCAAATCTTTAATTTTTCCAACTTAAAGATTTAGATCGAATTCATTATAGTTTACTTTACTAAAACATTAATACTATAACAAAATTTTACTATTAAATTTTTTATTTTTAAATTAATATTTCAAATCTAATTATATTATGTATATTAAAATTTATTTACATCAAAAAAAAAAAATTATAACACAATATAACAACTTTATAGGTTAACATAATAATATTTCATATCATTTTTTCTATTAATATATCATTTTAGTAAAAATGCAATTGATAAACTAACAGTCTATACTTTATAAATTTATCTAATTTTTTAAATTTTAAATTAAATTCAATAAATATCCTTTGGTTTTACCCTTGATTTTACATGATATGAATGTATAATAAAATGAAAACTTCAATTTTTTTATCCAGTAAGTTATAGGGGTGAGCATTTGGACCGGTGGATCGGACCGGACCGGTGAACCGGACCGGACCATTTTTTTGGACCCCCGGGCCGGTTCTCGGTTCTCATATTTCTCTCCGGTCCGGTCTGGTTTTTTTCCCGGTTCGGTCCGGTTTTTACCGGGTTTAGAACCGGTTGGACACGATTAAGATTTTTGTGATGTTTTTTAAACACTCATAACTCATTCGTTTTATGTCGGATTGATATGCGGTTTTTTCCAACATTTAGTTTACAGTTTGTAGATGAATTTAGACTATAATTTTGTTTATTTTGGTATTATATTCACCGCATTACGATCCTTCAAAGTAGAGCTATCAAAGCTGAAAAAATTCAGCTTTTCAGCAAGATTTTGTAATCTGTGACATTTTTTAAACACCAATAACTCATTCCTTTTAAGTCGGATTGACCAGAGATCTTTTCCAACATTTAGTTTACAGTTTGTAGATGAGTTTAGACTATAATTTTGTTTATTTTTGTATCATATTCACTGAGTTACAATTCTTCAAAGTAGAGCTATCAAAGCTGAAAAAATTCAGCTTTTCAGCAAGATTTTGTAATCTGTGACGTTTTTTAAACACCAATAACTCATTCGTTTTAAGTCGGATTGACCTCCAGTTTTTTCCAACATTTAGTTTACAGTTTGTAGATGAATTTAGACTATAATTTTGTTTATTTTGGTATTTTATTCACTGAGTTACAATCCTTCAAAATAGAGCTATCAAAGC